GGCCTTGGTGCCTTTCAGGCAGACAACTTCTAAGGTTATTTAATTTTAAGAAATATATGTTTAAAATCCTATGAACAGCAGCATAAGCACACATGCAGGAAGTGAAGGCCATGCCAATAAAACAGGGGTCATATTTCCTCCTCTTCCTAGAGGTTGGCGGACATTTTGTGCCAATATATACACATATATATGAAAATAAGGATGTGTTGTTAATCTGTTTTTAATCAAGTCTGTCAGACATCTGCAGAGCAGTGACATACACTTTAAATATTATCTGTACACCTGCAGGAAATACAGGATCAGCATTTCCTGCTCATCCTTGGTGGGGTGGGTAGACATTTTGTTCCAATATACAAAACTAAATTGTACTCTTTGAAAATGAAACTGTCTTGTCTGTCTCAGTCATGTCCTCTGTGCCTAATTAAGGCTTTAGAAGTCGAACAGAGCAAAACAAATACAACAAATGAAGCAAAGACTTGTAATTTCAAGGTATCCAGGGAGGAACCAGAGCATATTAGCAACTTTTAGTGATCACAGAAAGGGTGTGATTGTCACACAAAGCGGTTTGGTGAGATTTTCCGAAACTTTGTGTACATTCAGACTCAAGTATTCAGCCCTGACTCTAAGAGACCTCCGAGCCTCATCGTACGATCCCCCTGTTGACCAACGCCGCATCCCAAGACGATTGCATCATAGGCCTGCAAGATGATGACTCCCCGGCAGATGCTGCTTAACGCCATAAATGAGAGCTCTGAGCTGCCTCCCATTCTTCCAATACCACGGCTACGAGTGAGGCTATAAGCCCACTTCATAACTTGGGTTATAACTAAAAGCACTCGAAGTTACAGGTCGATTCAGGTGCCGTCGAGTCGACGTGTGGCTTGCGTCTCCTTTCACCTTGTTGTTAGACACGCCGCTCGGCATCAAATGACAGCCGCTCACAGGTGACGCGAAAGCAGAGCCAGGAGGCTACAGGTTAGCGGCCGCTTACCTTTGAAGAGGTAGTCATACTCGTCTTCTCTGTTGGTCATAGTGTCCCCTCTGCTGTTTTACTCGAAGTCGAACAAACTTCTGGCGTATTCACTTTTACTTCGACAGCGACCCAGCACCCGCTCACGACTCCGACCAGCGATTAGTTGTCACTCCGACGACAGCGAGGCTCGATTCGTGTCACACATGAATAACTGCGAGCACAACTCCGAGCTCGGAAAGTTTCGCCTCCTCTTCCTCACTCTCTGTCACTTGCCATAACCGAAGCTGTGACGTCACGTCGAGTCAGCAGTCCCGCCTCCCGCTCTCTCCCAGTGGTCAATAGCTGCTCGACACCTGTCACGGCCGTTGATGTGATTGGTCCGCTGTGCTGTCGTTCACGATTTAGTTGCCGGTCGTTAACTGGGATGACGTCTGCAGCCCCAAGCCTCAACAGGTAATACCGAGCCCCAGACAAAGGTAACTTTTAAGCAGGCACTGACAGTTGAAGTTTTAGCCTGCAAAAATAACCTTTCCCCCATAGGTATTTAAAATGTTAGTTTAAATAACCAAATCCAGTTCAGTTAAATCCTGTTTTATTTACATCAGCATCTGTCTTCTCAAGATGCCTGTATATTGTAAAGTTAAAATGCTATGATACTACAGAAAGAGTTCTAACAGTCATATAATCCCCTATGAGCATTCACCTGGCAATGGTGGGAAGGAAGAAGTCCCTTTTAACAGGAAGAAACCTCCAGCAGAACCAGGCTGAGGGAGGGGCAGCTATGTGGGTTGGTTGATGAGTGAGAAGAAATGAAGGGGGAGCATGGAGAAAGGTTATTACAGTTCACTAAAACACCTGCAACATACACCATGACATTATGAAATCTTAAGCCTCTATTCCACTCGACTCTGCTTGATTTCGATCGTTTTCCCATTTCATTTTAGTACCAACTCAATCTGTGTGGGGTCATTTGTATGTGACAAAAACACAACAATGTAGGGTGTGGAGGTGATGCTCAGTCTATGGCTTTTTTATTGGTTTTTGTGCAACCATTTCCCTTGTTTGTAGGGTCAAAAATGATGGTTTGGACTTGTGTGAAAGAGTCGGTCTCATGACTCATTCAACGACGACACTGACTGGCCTATCGGAGGCGTGCAGTCTGTAGACGTAACATTTTCGGACTCAGGTTGCTTGGAACCCAAGCCAAGTAGGTGCTAAAAGTCCGTGGTATCAGGTACTAACTCTTAATAAAAATATTTTAACCCCCCCCCCCCAGAAAACTTAGCCGAGTCGAGCTGAGCAGAGCCGAGTAGGTCGTAGTGTAAAAGAGGCATTGAAGAAACTAATTCAGTATTTTCTATATATGGAAGATAATCAAGCCTCATGTTTCAGAGATCCAGTCAGGTACGGCCTTTTGGTTGCAAATATTGCAATTTGTTCTCTGTATAAGTTATTTGAAAGCTTTACTTGTTAAATGCAAATCTACAGATACCTTATATGGTATCATTATTGATAAAACTACAGAAAAGTAACTAAAATAATCTCCAGCTGCAATATTAACATGATATGCTGCATACATTAATCAGTACTTGTGATTAGGTACTATATATCATTCTGCATAATGAAAAATTTTACTGTATGTACGGAGTTTTTGATGCTAAAATGTTCACACAATTAGGCTATTTAAGTAGAATCATGACTTTTCTACTTATTCTCAAGTTTTTATGGTCTTTAAAAATACATTATTTTGCTACTTTGAAAAATGGTTATTCAATAGACAAAAATATTTTTAACTCTCTTTTTTAATGTAATTCCTTATATATTAGGGTATGGGGCTACTCATAAGACTGAAAGTCACATTTTTAATCTATTTCTACTCAAATATCCTGATTTTATGATGGCCCGTCAAACCCCTAATCTAACAAAGCTCAATCCACTTGCATGCGTAAGATATAAAGATTTGCTCCACATTTATTTTCTGTATAAACTTCAGTGCCAAAAGAGACTTGATAATAATAAACAGACCACATAGCCTAAGCACATTAACCACCAGTTAAAGAATGAAACACTTAGATTGAGAAAGCTTATGAAATTCCGCAGTGTACTAATCAACAATATGTTCAGATAAGATTTCACTGCATTGTTTTTTATTTCTACTGTTTCAACAATGTGGTCAGAGACATGAATCCACACATTAACAGCACAGATCAGCTGATACTTGGTGGTTGATAAAGAGTCATTGCTGGTTCAGCTCATTGTTTATCAGGCAATCCCCTACCTTCCCGTACAACAGCTGATCTGGAAAGAAATCACCTTTTAATCTCCATGCATCATCATCTGACCATCATTGATTGGGCCAGTTAATTATCTGCACCCAGTGAGAGGAAAGACGATGTCACGGTTGAAAAGGTTGCCCTGACCTGCTCTGCTAGACGGACGTGCTGCTGTGCATCTAAAATTCATTTGAGTTTTTCCCCCAGAACTTTTTCCACGTGTTAGTGTCTTCAAATGTGTTGAAGTTTCTGAAATTTTCAGACCTCATTACAGATTTCCTCAGAGGTTATGACCCTTGGTGCGGCTAAGCATTTCATGTGGAGCAATGAGCAAGTCCGAGTCGGACACAGACTTCAGCCAAATGTTTTAATACTCTAGCTCACAGAGTTTCCAAGAGAGCTGAGCTCACTACAAGGAATGATCTCACTTTACTGGAGTGTGCTTCTGTGATTTAAAAACTACTGTTTTATTGGGAAATTATAAATGTTACTAATGCTTTTGCAAGTGGCAACCTTTAGATTTAAAAAAATGACTGCAGTTCCTCTGTGTTCAAAAGCAGGTCAGCCCCCACAGTCTCATCAGTTATTCCTGTTTAAACAGCATTAAAAATCTTGTTGACAGAGCGGTACAAGAAGGAGTCAGGGTCTCTGTGGATACTTTGCACCTTAAAATGCAAGGTCCACAACTAGTGGGTGACATCACAGTGGCTCCATTCATCTTATTTTTTTATTTTTTTATTTCTTCTTTCTTTTTTTTACAATGATAAATAAAAAGTAAGTGTTTAAATCCTCTGGCTGGCCTTTCTGTTCTGATGTTCTCTCCATGGCCGTGTAGGTTCTCTCCAGGTAGTCCAGCTTTCTCCCACAGCCCAAAGACATGCCTATTCTGTAAACTGATGATGGTAACGTGACCGTAGGTGTTAATGGTGTCTGCCTCTGTGTTACTCCTGTAATAGACTTGTGACCTGTCCAGGATGTACCCTGACTCATGCCTGGTTGGAATAAGCTCCATCAGCCTGGCAAAGCTGAATTGGATAGTCACAATATAGTCCTTAATTTCTGAAGACGTTAAGGAAAACCACAGATGTTACAAACATTTACAAAAAATTGATGTGGCTCAGCATTTAAACAGTGAAGTCAATGTGGAGGGTCCTTAAACCTGCATTCTGTCTAATGACCAGCAGGAGGCAACTCCTCTGGTTAGAAAACCTTTATAAGAAAATAGTCCTGCTGCTCACTTGGGTTATTAGTTCAACCTTAAACATTTCTGTGATGCTTTTATGATCTCAGTCTCAAGCTGAAGTTGAAATTATACTGAAAACAATGTAAACGTGCTTTCTCTAAATTATTGTCATTTGCTGATTTAAAAACGGTAAAGCCCTCAGAGCTGCTCACTCATTGTTTCCAGAGCTTAGAGCTTCAGTGGACACATTTTTAGGTGCACCTTGTGAGTATTAGCTTGGACTGCCTCGGTGTGGCAGAGATTCATCAAGGTACTGCAAACATTTCTCAGATTTTGATCCATATTGACATGATAACATCAAACGGTGCAGATTTGTCAGCTCCACAGCAGTGATGTTAATCTCCCATTCCTCTGTGGAGGGATTTGGGTACAGTGAATTCCTTTAGTGTTCACGTAACCAGTTTGAGATGGTTTGAGCTGTGTGTCATGGCAGGTTATCTTGCTGGAAGCAGACATCAGAAGATGGGTGCACAAAACCCACAAAGGGACAGACACAAAAATACACAGTGGGTAATTTGTCTCCATTTATTTCTTAACAGATATGTAATCAGTCTCATCATAGATGACCAGCTGGAGCACACGCTCAGCAGTGACAGCAACACTCACAATGAATACAAACATTTCCACCAATCAAGCTGCTGATTATAAGAAAAAACATTGAAACATGTTGCTCATATTTTAGACATCATACACACTATGATGTGTTTTCAATTCCCTGAATGGATTATGAATAATCTGACAGGTAACACAATTTAGTTTCACCTTTGACCTTTGTTCAGTAGTGAAGAAGTAACTTAAAAGACTGCTGGTGGTTTCCAGCTCCATCTGTTCACATTTTCAACTGTCGTTTTAATGCATCTTACCACCATGCCGGCTCTACCACTCTTAAATCAGTCAATTCAAAGTTGCAGCATTCAAGCCAGAACCATTTATACTGGTGCCTGAGGTTGCCTCCAACAAATTCCAGCTTGGGGCAAAAGGAGGAGTCCCCCACCGTGAGGCCCGAGTCCTGAAGGATGGTGGGGTCAGATGTTCTTGCAGCAGGACTTCTTCTCTGTGTCTTCTGCTTTAGGGCTGTTCAGGGTAACTGCACTCATGGGGCCTCGGACCACTTCCTTACTGCTTACCTTCTTGTGAATCTCTAATGGCATGAAATTGATATATATGATGGCGCAGAAAGAATGAAAAAGTAGAAAAGTTGTTAACAAAATAAAACACAGTAATACCATGGTTCTGGGCCGCACAAAAGTATAGAAGGCTATGATTAGAAATTTACTAATAACTGGCACGTCCACCATGATTTTCGATGCTATGTAATAATCAGCGCTCAAACCTTTCAAAAATGTGGCTCCACCACTGTGCTTGACAGTTGGTCGGAGGTGTTTGTGCTCATATATTGAGTTTGATTTGGGTCGTCTGTCCAAAGCACATTGATCCAGAAAATGTGTGGTTTGTCCAGATGCAAGAGAAGAGGCTTTCTTTTGATTACTATTCCAAACAAGACACACTTATTCACTCTTGTTCTAATTGTACTGTCGTGAACTTTAACCTTTAACATGCTAACTGAGGCCTGTAGAGTCTCAGAGGTAGCTTTTGGTCCTTTGTGGTTTCTCTTAGCATTGCATGATCTGATCTTGGGGTGAATTTGATGAGACCTATCCTCCTGGGATATCTGGTAACTGCCTTGAATTATTTCCACTGCACAATGATGGACTTTAAATTGTTTGTAAACGGGTTTATAGCCCTTCTCAGGAGTTGCTTCTCCAAAATGTCTTTCCTCCATGGCAGCTGAATGCTCCAGGCCTGCGAGCCTTTCATACAGGTGCTCACACTCGCCGATGATCAGCTGATAGCTGACAGCTGAAGTGCATTTGAGTAGCAACAACCTCTTAATTCCTATAAAAGCAGTACGGGTTAAGTTTTGTCAGTTCTGCTTATATTTACACTTTTGTCGTGTAATGCTATCATTGTTCTTCACTGGCTTTTGTTTACTGTGTCTCTTTTCTTCTAATTGGGATCATTTTCATCCTTTTTTATTGTATATTTAATGTATTCTTTTAGATTATTTAATCCCTTACCTTCCTGCTTTTCTTTTTCTTTATTTAATTTTTATTGTTTAGGTTTGTCTTCTGTAAAACATTTGCCTGTGAAAAGCATGATATAAATAGATATCACTGGATTTCCTGCTGTTTCTGGAACATATTCTATATTGGAAAGAGGAACTGACCACAGGAGTGGAAAAATTAGTAAGAGTAAGGGTAACAGATGCATAATTTATAGTAAATATTCACAAAATGTAGGAAAAGGAAAGGCAAGGAGAAATGACATTCATTTATATCAGCAATATAAAAACACATGAAGCATGTGTAAACATAAATAAATATATATATTACCTGCTAAGACAGTGGTAAATGCTGCTTCTACATTTGTAGAATCCAAGGCTGAGGTTTCCAGGAAGAAAAGGCCTTTCTTCTCTGTATTAATAATGATACAAACGTTCATGATTAAATTCACATCTGTGCTTATTTTATTTTTCACTTTTATCAAATTGTGTCTCTAGTTTTAACATTGGGGTGTTTGAAATGCGCTCTGTAATAACATTGCATACTCTAGCTTTAATCAAATAATAGGAAATTAGAGCCACAAAGAATGATTGAACAGGAATTTGACTTGATTTCATAGACACAGTAATAGTCTCCATAATTATCAGAAATTAAATTCTGCTGCAGTCCTGGATGTGAATAAAGCAAGCACAAAAGTGAAAACATAATCATTTTTCACAAAAGTTGATAACATTTCAAAAACATCAAAGATGTTTTGCTTTGGAAATGAAATGCAGGCGCAACATTTTTGAGTAACATTTCTTAGTCTTTAGAATTCTCTGACATACGTCTTGGGGTTTGAAGCTGCATTTGAACATCATTATATGTTGGAAACGTAGAATTTCACACTGTATCAACATGTTCTTCTTTAAAATCTCAATCTCCTCTTCTTGCAAAAATCATATTTTTGCTTTTAGTTGTTGCTAAAAACAGGAAACGTACAGCTGACAGGTTCTGTGAAATCACAGAGATCCTTTCTGTACCTTTTCTCTCAAGTGAAATGTTGTTTTCAGTTTTGTTGGGGCAACACAAAAAATTCCCATTAACGGTAAATAGAACAGAACACATGCACTAATTTCTAGGTTTAGCACTTGTTGACTTTGTACCTGCAAAGTCTTTGGCCTCCTCATTAGGCACTGATCTCTCTGACTCCAGGTCAGTCTTGTTGCCTACCAGCATTACCACAATGTGGGGGTCAGCATGTTCATAAAGCTCCTTTAGCCAGCGCTCCACACTCTCGTAGGTGAGGTGTTTGGTGATGTCATAGACCAGCAGGGCTCCAACAGCACCTCTGTAATACCTGTTAGGATGAGGCAGCCTTTACAGTTGCACACAGAAATCTTTACGCTTGAACTAAGCAGCTAAATGACAGCGATAATTATGAAGTGATTTAAAAAAAAATCTGATTAAAAATCATCAGTGGTCCATCATGAATCCTCAAGAGTGACATCGTGTTCATAAGGAGGGAGTAGATGGACATATGTACTCAAGTGCTTATGGTATTAGCTTCAGCTGTCGCCAGTATGGAAGCATAATAGGCAGCTCCTGCCGCCGTCCATTGAAAAAAATTAATTAATGACTCCTGATTGCTCTGAAGTTACGAACCAGTCAATACTTCCCCGACAATCACAATTCTGCTCTCCTCTTCCAGCAGCATAATTAATTCCACTTTAATAGGTTTTAGCTGCTTGTTACAGCACAAATGGGAAATTCCATGGGAGTGAGAATTTGCATACTGGAATAAGTTGGCAAGTAATTACTCAAAAAGCCACGCTGTCAGAAAAGAGCTAATCCAGTGGTGTAGCATATCCTCAGATTTCCCCGTGTCTTAAAAATAAAACGGACATGGTTCTATTGTTTTAAAACCCGTTTCCACACTCTTAATCCTTCTAGTTTAATTAGGGAAGAAAAAAAATACTGAATCAGTTGGAAGAGAGAAGCACTGAGTGTTCAAAGGAACATCACTGCCCTAACAAGTGGATTTTAAATGTGCCAGTTGGAAAGAAAATGGAGACAAGAATGTGCTTGTGGTTTTTCAGGTAATGCGGGAGGTAACCGAGGATCAGCACCTGTCCTCGTGGCTGTTTTGGCTGATAACAGCACCGCCTTAAGATGTCGACATACAGGTTTGCTCAACAACTAAGCAGCAGGAAAACAGGCATGTGGACTGCAAAAGCATTGTGCGTGTCGGTTTGCAGGTGTGCATAAAAGTCACACATTTTTAAGATGCATTCTTAATGAAGAACACATATTAGTGACAAAAGAAGATTGCAATGTGAACCATTATTTTATACCCACCAGTTTAGATTAATAAACTTTATTTAAGACAAGAGTTGCACATACTGATTGTTGATTTTAACAAACACTGATTCCAGCAGAGTTTTCTGCATGTGTTAGCATTCAGATAGAATGGCAACCTGCCCTGACTGGAAAACTGGAGTCTCTAGTTCCCCCTATCCCATATGGACTGATACAATGACCTAGATAAAATAGGGTCATGCAAGATGACATGACTGTAGGTTACAGCCTCCTAATGTGGACTTTGTAGGTCTATAAAATGGGACTGTTGTATGACAACACTGATGTTGACAGACACCTTGTGCATAATGGTGAGACTGTGGTGACAGCTGACAAGAAGGCATTATGTGACATCCTGGAAAAAGAATGTAATGATTTTTCTCTGGACTGTAGCGCTATTCATTAGTGAATTTAGCTGTTTCAGCCCAACTACGCTGGCCAAGTGGGAAGCAAACTGTCAATACAGATCATCTGAGGGAGTTGCCTTTGTGTTCTGTTAAGCACAGGACTTTTGTCACGCCTGCTCCTGCACAAGGACACAGTTGGTATGCGTAGTTGAGTAGAAAGAAAGTAGTTCCTACAGGAACCTGATCAAAATGACGTAAAGCAAACATGAAGCCAGGGGGTCGGAGTTGGCCTGGCACAGACTTCAATCCGGCACACTGGATGTTCATAAGTTGTGCAGATTTTCCTACTGATAAAGACTTCCCCTGTAGCCATTTAGGCTATGCCAAAGTAATTAAATATTAGAGAAACAATTAAAGAAAGTGCTTTTCACTATCTACTATAGAAATTTGTGATTTTTTTTTTTACAACTCAACAGTTTAAAAAAGGACATTTTCTGTCAATTAACAAATGACAGAACATAACTTGTTCACAGTGAAGTTTTACTAACACGACATCTGCAGACTGGTTCTTGTTGACATTGTATTTTGATAAGCAGGAATGAAAGTTCACATCCTGATTTGAACAATAACCCCTATTATGCATGTGCATTTTATAATTACATTATAATTACTGGGTAGTGAGCTACCATAACCTTCTGTAATTATTCTCATTTATTAGTGGGATATTAGTAGTATATACTCACGCAGATGTGATGGCCCGGTATCGCTCCAGCCCAGCAGTGTCCCAGATCTGAGCTTTGATGGTGAAGTTGTTGAGCTGCACTGTCCGTGTGCTGAACTCCACCCCGATGGTTGTGCGGCTGTCATGGTTAAATTCATTTTTGGTGAAGCGGGACAACAAATTGCTCTTTCCTACACCAGACTCTCCTATTAGAACCACTGCAGAGGACAGAGAGAAATTTTAATTAGACATTTCTTTTTTTGTTGAAAGCCTGCACTCAGCCATTGCAAAACTAACAAAGCCAATCCCCTGAGATCCACTTCATCCTTTACAACCATTTTTGTCTTATGCCTAGGTGTGTCTCCTGTAGTTGCTCCATAAATCCACAGTATTTGCTGTCTGACATTGGGCTAATTGCACAATCAGGAAATAACTTCATGGTGAAAGAGTTAATTATTTGAGCTAAAGCACGCAGAGGAAAGAATGCAGATAGAGGGCAAACAGAGTTAAACGCCTCTGCTTAGTTGTAGTTTGTGGGGTTTGAGTATATCTCAGCGTACACTGGACGAGAGGGTGGCTGTACAATCAGCTGCTTATTTGATTTATTAACAGCAGTAAATAAGTGTGACAGTTTATTTTTTTTTCACAGTTTTTATCCAATTTTGGCTTTAGGCAGTGTTTTTATTTCTGAGTGAAGCTGTGCAGCACACAGATCCTAACCTATTTCTGGGCTGTTCATTGTTCTTGGTGTGACTGATTAATATTTTTAAAATGTATTTTCTTTTAATGCGCTGCAGATTTGTGTTTTTTTCTCCTTCATTTATAAATTCTGTGAAACACACGTTTCCCTCCTGGAAAACTGAAAGCCTTTGGGGTCTTTTTTCTCTTTTCCACGAACAAGCCGTTGTTTTTGGAAATAAAACCATCTGCAAAGTTATTCCAAATCAGGTGGAACGAGTTCAACTGCTACTTCCTTTTTGCCAGAGCAACCTACCTACTGAGTAAACAGCAGAAGTAACACAGACACCCCCTGTGTACATGTCAGTGACTAATATTTGGGTTTCAGTTGTTAAGTAGCTGACTCAGAGAGAAAAAAGAGGCTTGGCTTAATTGACAAAGATAAAAAAGTATGACCACACAAAGAAAACAGAAAAAATGAGACCAGTGAATAACTGGATAAGATGAAGTTACATGTAACTGCTGTAGATTCAGTGAGCCAAGTGTTATGACATCTTCAAAGCCATCAATTATGACATACTGTTTTTGATATTTGTTAACCCCATCTTGTTCCTAATCTCAGCTTCAGCTCATTATTAACGAGGAAATACAAGCCTGATGTCTATACTTCCTGCCCGGATGTGGCTCTAAAAAATGTAGTTTTTCTGTATCTTTATCTGTATTTATCTTTATCTAGATTAGTGTAAAGAAATACTGAAGAGGCAAACAACTAGCCTGGCAATGTTGTCCCATAAAACTAAACCTACTCAGTGCATCAAATGTCATTTTGTAAAGAGTTTCTAAAGGTGTTTTAAGGGGTAAATCTGTGAAATTTTAGATGTGGTAGTGAATAGATTTTTTGGATAGAGTCAGCTGGCAAGCCATTTCTATCCATGCACATTATAAAAAAACATCAATGCAAGAAGTTATTCAGTGACTTAGTGAAACTTTTCTTAAGTTTGAGCTGAGCTAAAAACCCTACCAATGACAGAGATGGTTTACCTGGGCAACCAGAGCCTGGACCGACCGCTATAGTGACCAGCCGTCCACAACAAAGAAATGCGTGATGTCGGGGTGTACACATGTCCAAGAATAAGAGGATTCTACAAAAGTATTATTTATTTATTACATAAATAACCAGTGAGTCTATGATGTCCCAGTGAATATTAAAGTAAAAGTTACATTTTAATAATGTTTTAAAATTACTGCGCAAATAAGTTCCATGGAGCTCTACACACACAGCTGCTGAGTGGTAAGTCTGCCTTTGGAAACAGGGATGTGAAGTAAACTGGGACTGTTGTCCCTAAAGGGCCATACCAGTAAGCTTATACAAGTTCAATTTAATAAATTTGGGCAGAATTGAGTTCAGCTTAGTGGTGCAGCCCTCCACAGCAGTCCCAGGCTCTCACATGGCTCCTTGGAAACATTAATTCCCCACCCCCGTTCATCAGTCTGACTATTACAAACGTGAAGAGCTTATTTCTCCCTGCAACTGCATGGAACATTTAAATCAAGAATTCTCAAATAGCAAAAGATAAATATAAAGGGGTAAGTTTTTTGTGTATATGTGCAGTTACTGGGAAATCTAAAGTACTTAAAGATTTTTATCAGGAGACTAAATTCAGCATTTGCCAGTTTAAACTCACATATGCTGAAAACTGTTATTTTTAGAGACAGACTCTCAGCAGGGTTGAAGATATTTAAAGTAAAGACGTGATCAGTTCTTCACCTTGATAGCAGTAAATTGTTGACTGCATGAACACGCTATTGGAGCTGTAGCAAAACTCCATTACCACGCTAAATGCTGAGAAAACAATCTCACCAGAAGATCTAGTTCTTCGTAACTGTTCTTCATCATCAGGGTTGCCCAGTCATGCAACGTGTTAATTTTCCACTTCCATCTGCTGAAAAAGCCGGTGTGATTTCCAATGTCAGAGCAGTTACTAATTTAACTGTGGAGTGACACTTTTTTTTTTAACTTATCTTCTTTTCTAAGTCTTGCGAATGAACTTTGAACCTTGTCTAACATGGCCAACAGCTTTCAAAAATGTGAAAAAGAACTCCAACAAAACCAAACAACAACTGAGCAAAACTCCATCTGCTGTTTTGGATTTATTGAAAGCTGCAGAAAAGCTAATAAATTCTGGGAGATTGTTTTCTCCACACTGCTGTTTCCTTGAATCAACATCAGTCAGGGTTTGAAAATAATTTGTTGTCCTTTTTTTTTAAACTCTCTGAGCCACAGGACATAAAAAGTGCTATTTTCCGCACCTCAACACCGGCTGAGTCCCATAAAATCTAAAAAGACAAATAAGTAAGCTGTGCCTATGTTTGACCTGAAGTCTGAGGTCCTGCTGAAGAATATTTTAGGTTATTGTTCACCAAGATAAGTGTGCTGCTTTTGCTCCCCCCTTTTCTCCTTGTCTACTGAGTAACTTCTAATGCAAACAATACCCCATGTTTCCATAGCAACACAGGACAAGCGGCCTTCGAGCATGTGGCCGGTCTGGTTTGCTCCTCAGGAGGCCAAAAGCTTAAATTTTCACTTTCTTTGCTTTACTTTGCTGTCATGACCTTCAGGCCTGGAAATGTAGTTGGTGTAATGTACACAGTGCTGCTGCAGGTCGAAACTAAACACCTTAACGAGTGAATGTAGGGTTCACTTACAGCAGTGGGAGGAGCTTGTGGTCTGCTGGTCATCCCCCAGGAAACACTTCATTTGGGGAATTTTGCTGAAGTTTTATACACCAGTTAGGACCTTTTACATGTTTATGGTGGAAAGGCTTCTTTTTGTTTGTTTCTTTCTTTAAGAAAAATAAAAATCAGGCATGAAGCTCTCTGGCATTCTGTACCATTGTCATGTAATTATTCTCAGCTTTTCTATTTAATATTATCCCTCCCGAGTTAGCACACATGTGGGTATGATTAACTCTTTGGTCCCTGTGAGAGCTGAGGCTTCTGTCTGATATCAGTTTTATTTTGTTTGAGCAGCAGCCTGTTTCAATATGCACGTAGAGCCAAACCTGCTGTCATTTCTAAACACCTGGACTTTATAGCTCAAATACGATTTTGCAGGATTTGTGTCCATGCTCAAAACTCTCTGCAGTTGCAAATGCTTTGGATGATTTTTATAAATCATTTACATTTCAACTGGCTTTAAATCTAAGGAGGACAGGCAACATTATCTTAAGATTAGTCAGCAAACTAGCAAAAACACTTCTGAACAAAGAGAAAAAACTATTGCATAACTTACTCTACTAACTACATTTTCCACAAAAGGTTCAGTAATAGCGCTTCCACCACCACATTATTTATTATATTTTATTAAGATGCCATGGTACACACCCTACAATGTTTCCTGTAACCCAAATATCATGTATACAGTGCATGTAGTGTTCTTTTCTTGTATATTGTTTTATTTACTTTTGCACCTCTGTAATCATAATTCTTAATTTTACTGGGGGACAAATGTGTGTGTGTCACCTCAACCCTGCCTTCAGATCTACAGTTATACTTAACAATACCAAAACCACATTAAATGTTCATAATGGCATCCTACATGTTCATTTGAAAGAGTCAATATTAGTATGTACATAAGCCTGCTAATTAATTTTAATATCTAATTACCAATTCAATTTTATTTAAATTCATACAGCAAAGCATTTTAGGCAAAATGAAGAGACAGGAACACCAAATTTGGCGCTATATAAATAAAACTGAATTGAATTGAACACTAATACAATACCTCCTTTTCCAAAAATCTGCTCAAACTGATTTCACTGATTAGTTTCTTTGAGCTATCGTTGGATGGATTGAAGCCTGCACACATGCTGAAAAAGGCCTCTAGTTTTGGTTTGGTAGATTTGGTTTCCTGGGAAGTTTGTTAACGTTTATCAGCCAGAGAAACATCCCTTCACTGTGAAGATCAATACTGCAATAACGAGTGTCCATTAGAAGCAAAACTTCCAGGGAAAAATGATTTTTAAAACCTCATTTTGGTGAGAGCTCTTTTCATAAACACAAAAACTTGGTGGTGATGTGCTGCTCTCGCTCCTCGTGAATGCAGTAATTTGTCCTACAGCAGGATGCATGATGGTTTACAGTGTCTGGATGGTGACCACTGGTTGCACACTACTTATTATGAGGCACAGTTAGATACTTTTAGTGCACTATTTAAGGTATAATGATACTTGGTGAATATCTGAAGATACACCCACGTTTGCTAACACCTTAGGCCAATTAACCAATTGACTAACATGTCTTTGGACTTTGGCAGAAATCTGGGGAACCTGGAAAAATCTCAATACAGACCAGCAGGTTCACACCCAGATCACTGATGCAGTCAGGCGGCAGCACAAACCACCGTGCTACCCCTTTGTAAGAGTTACTATGAGTCACATTTGCATCTCATTGCCTGTAGGCCTTTTTCACAACAGATTATTTGTCTTGTCAAAGCAGGAAAAGCACAGGTATGGATTTCACTACACCAACAATGACCCCAGCTTCATTAAGTGTTTCAGTAAACTGGTCCAGTGAGCCAGCATTCACAGTGCTGAGGCTCTCCTTAAGCAGAAGACAGGAGTCATTAATGTGATGAATTCACTTGTGGCTGCGTGCTGATAAATTAAAATGTTTGCTGTGAAAACACTGTGGAAGGAGTAGCCAACACACGCCTGCATGCTTTGGTTACAATAAAGCCCCCTTTGTCCTGTGAAGTGTTTAAAGATTAAAGTCTTTATCATACCGACAGAGTTTTTGTGGCAAAGCTGTGTCGTGATTTTTAAGATTCTTTTTCGGTTGTTCTGATTTTATCTGGGACTATGGACACAGAGCGTTAGGACATACACCACAATGCTCTATAATCCACAATAATACCATTTGCTGGGTGAGTCTGTGTGTGATCCCAGTGCCTTTGGAGGCAAATGTAGACCTGAGGTAGGGGGTCGGTGTGTGGACAATGAATAGTTGCTGTAGCATCTTAATAAATAAAAAGCCTGCTATTATGACTTGTCCTGCCTATTATACTGAAGTACAAGGTGAAGTATATTTTGCACTGTAGTGTTCTGCAGTCGCGTCCATCTGGCCACAAAAAGCGTGGGCGTCTGCAGGGCTTCGTGTTCACTAGCTGATTCGGACTCTCACATTCATGGAAGTGGAAACTCACACTAGCATGACAGTACGTTTCAGACTGGGTTTTTTTTTTTCTTTTTTTGGATATGATGTCACAGAGAGTGGGTTGCTCTTTCTGGCTGTGGATGCAGGAGACCCACTGTGCTGTTCCACCCTCCTCCGAGAGGGGAGACGTTCAGAAAAAAATGTATTAAAGCTAAAACTGAGGGGCTGATCCAAGGCCCAAGCATGACTCATGCAAAGCTACTTTAATTCCAAGAATAAAGATGAGCTCATTAAGAGAAATTCAGCACCTTAACCAGCAGGATATTCGTTTTTCCATTAATTGGGAGTCTGTGAAAGTAGACGGTATCAAAAGTTGGAATAAATGAAGTCAGTGTGTATGGAAATGACTTAAGCAAAAAAAAAAAAGTTCACTGCCCATAGCAACAGCCCCAACTTCCTGAATGTAAATTTTCAATGTAAATTTAAATCCACAGACTGTATATAAAAGATGGCTACAGGCATGGTGAGGTGATTTTCCATTCTGCTTTTTCAAGCTTCTACATTAGCGCTTTGGTCTGGCTGTTAGTTGTCTTCATTATTATTAATATTATTATTATAGCCCTGGTTGTGTCCACTTGGTTGAAACGTGCTGGTCCTTAAATGCTACCATGTGGAAAAGCACGATAGAGCAAATACTTCCTCTGTTGTGCAGACTGAATTCTAAATAAAATGATTAAAATGTGCTATCAAAGCTAAAGCGGGTGATTTTTTTAATAACAGAAAATAATTTGTTTACAGTGAAGATTTACTAACGTGACATCTGCAGACTGGCTCTTGTTGACACTCTAGTTTGACAAGCAGGAATGAAAGTTCACATCCTGATTTAAACAATGGCCCCTATTATGCATGTCCGCCCACAGAAACTATATGCTGAAATGATGATATCACTGCAGTACTGCTCGGCTTTGTTGTATTTCACCTGGAGCAAATATTTCAAACAGCTGACTGAGCTGCATCCAGAGACGTACTGTACGTGCACACCGTCGTGCATCACTGTGTACCGTTTATTACTGATCTGTGGCATTCTGTTGACACACAATCATGCATACTCCTCTGTTCTTGTTCCTGGAAACTGCCAAGTTAATCATAAACAAGGAAGTATAATTAGAGTCCAACTGGACATTACTGTGTGATACCTTTCTGACACTTTGGGAATATGCCTGGTGATTGACTAAAGCGTGCAGAAGGATATGTACTCACCCTTAAAGACAAAGTTGTAAGCCTCATCTGACCCCATGTTTTGTCCATTCAGTGTTGCCTCCTCCCAGTTTACAGCAGTCTGATCACAGGATGTAAGATGACACTGAGCAGAGACCAAAATCAGCTTGACTTCAGGGAAGAAACTGGCAGCAAAAAAGGTTTTAACACGAGTGGCAGTCAACAGCTTTCCTGACCTTCACATCCTTCCCCTCCCGTGTGAGTTAAGAGAAGGCTGACTTGTTTAAACAGGACATGTGGAGCGTATCCAGGTCGTTCTCCTGCAGCAGGCGGGGCCTGAGTCAGGAAAAGGCAGAGCAGCAGTGGAGGTGTGTCCAAATAATGGAGTCACTGCAGGGCAGGTTGGACAGGTGGGGCCAGTGGCAGGTACAGCAGAGGCGGACTCTCAAACGCCTCCTGGTGGAGGAGACGGCTCCAGGAAGTGAAACTCCCCTGAAACAGAGCTCACATGCTCCTTCAAAAAACCTTACCCTGCATCACCACACCTGTCACTGTACATCCTGTCCGGTCAAGCTCCTGGACAATAACAGACCAAAGTGCAGACAACAAACAGACTTTCTTTGAGTTAAAAACGAGTTTCTAAGATCAGTGTAAAAGGTTGGGCTCAGTTTTAGCTTTCAGTTTTCATCACAAATGTGTTTCTGAGAGGACAAATCAACGCACAGCTGCTTGTAGATAATGAGAAGTAATTAGTATTGAACACAACATCATCAACTCATTACTAAAAGAAATGTAATAGCCCAATATCACTCAGTATTTTCCTTAAATGGTACTTAATAGAAAAACAAAATACCGTACTTAAAGAAATGATGATACTCAGCCTGCGTATTCAGTAAAACGTCTTCCTCATTAAAGAGTTTTGTCTCCTTCGAGCAGCAAATAAATCAGTCGTCTGTTGAGAGTGATAACAGTAAATGGGAGGACGATGTGACTGCTGAGAGCACAGATATGATACCAGTGTATACAATTAAAATATTAAAATAATTGTAGGTCGCTAGAAAATAGTCACACGCAGTAAAAGAAACAAATGAAATCCCGATGTGTAAAAACCTGTTTAAAATGTATATTTAAAGAAAACAGATGGAGCCAAACAAAATAAGAGTATTAAACACATTCAAATTAAAGGTTCAATAAGAAGTTAAAGTTGCTGAATGAACAGCTGTTTCTATGCGCTTCCATGAAAATACGCTGCCTGTGGCCTCACAGCACCGTGACCCTGAACTGCGCAAAACGATAGAGAGATACTGACAGCAGCCTGAGTAACATGTCAGTGCTGCTGAGATTATTGGCACTTTATGGTACTTTAGCGTTTTCCTGAGTCACTTTACTTAAAGGTTTAATGTCTTACTTTTGTACTTCTGTAATTATCTCACTGCTTTTGTTTATTTCTGTTTGCGTGGTGTTTTGGACTCTGTGTTCTGAAAGCAAGCACTTCTTTGTGCATCAGCAAGCTTTATTAAAATGTTCTGTTCTTCTGCATTTGGTTCTTTTTAAATTATCTGATGATTCAGACGAACTGGAACGCCTTAAAAATGAAAATATAAGTTGAACAAATGTCATTCTTTCAGCAACATTTCAGTGTGATTTGTCATGTTTCAGTATCTGTGCATAAAGAACAAAAGCAGCCATTTACCCAGCGACTGACCGCTGGAACAATAAAGTAGTGAAACTTATGCTTTCTGGATTCCTGTTGTAGATGCAAGCTTGCTACGTTACCCTTCCTGCCCCACGTTTCCATCATGTTTTCTTCTGTGGTGCCAGGAAATGAAGCAAGGCAGCACGAGTCCCCGGCTCGTCAACGCTGCCTCTAAGAATTTGTCATTAAAACTAATTCCAGGGTTTCTGGGTCAAAATTTTAAAAGTTTTTTTCTTTTGGCATGTTGTTTCCAGGTCGTGACCACATTTTGATTTTCTAAAGCCCTCTGTACATCACACTGTTAGTTTTAATATACATCTACACCTCCATCATTCCTCTCGGTCACGTCAGCGTAGAGAACAAAGATTGTGCAAATTTGAATGTACATTTCTTTTATTTAACACCTCTGAAATAATACAATCAATCTTAACTGCAGCTCAAGAAAGTTCAAAGTTTCCACACATATTTCTCTTTTCATGAGATTTGAGCTCCTGACAAGTTTCAAAATGCTCAAATTTCTGTGTAGCCTTGATCAGCATGCCTGAGCGAAAGCTGCAAATGAACAACTCGACTGTGGGAACGTTTGATAATGGAATCATTTCAGCAGACAAATTTACAAATTTAGCCAAATTTTGAAGGGAACGTATTCACAAGCGAGCGGAAAGAGTTACGCACCATACAAGCTGGTAATTTTTTAGTACAAACACACATAGATACATATATACACACGCACACACACAAAAGCTTGCCCGTTCATTGACATATATGCATTATGCATTTAGTGAACAAGCAGAGTGGCACAGTAGTCCATGAATGGATCACATGGATCACATGACATAAGCATCCAGAAGAGCGTGAGTCACATCTCGACTACGACGCCGCCACTTGAGTTAAAGGTTCCTCCAGATACTGGACCAGAGCTTCTGCCTACAATCACAACACACACAGCACAGTTATGTTTGGAATAAATACATATCTTTTCAGCATAACAAAGTATTATTATAAATAATCAATATAAATTCTACTTGCATAACAACCTTCTGATGTGAAACTCTTTAATGTGAACAGGACAACCTGTATTTCGTTGTGACATAATATTTGACTCAATACATCAAATTTTAATTTTGATCAACATAAATGTTAAATGATGAGCAGGTGACATGTTTTACGATGCTTATAAATGTTAATCATTATCATTAAGAATGTGATTGAGACTAAATTTTAAATGTCTCTTGTGACATGTCATGAACTTGCAAGAAAATTTTGCTTTCTTGGAAGAAGAAAATTTAGTGATGTAGTATTTATTAATTTATTTATTTTTATAAATCAACTTGGTTGAATCTATCCACAATGGAAAACAAATGGAACAGAAAGCCTTGCCTTGTTCAGACATCTGTTATCTGCTACCCGGACGTCCTGAATACAACACGAGATTAGTTAGCCTCCGGAGGCTGTGTCAGCAGATTAGCTGACTGGGAAAAGTGGCTAAAGTTCTGACTAAGAAAAATTGGAAGCACATTCAAAAAGATGGACACAGTCTTAAAAAAACAAAAACAAAGCTCAGTCATACTGAACTCATTATAAGAGGCACTAGTTCACTGTTACCTCTGAGTCAGACTTTTGTTAAACTAAAAGCATGTTTTGCCAAATTACATCAAACTGCTGAACTTCCTTCATTAGCAGAAATCCTCTGCCTCCGTAAAAGAACTCTGAAGTAAAGCGGAGGTAAAATTAAAAACACAAAAAGCTAAAAATAAATAAAAATCCTCGTTGTTTCATGTATTTATGTGCAAACAAATAATGAGCCACACTTTACCCTCAGCTGTTTCCATATTAAATCCATTCTCAGCTGGTCTGGAGGCTCAAAATAAGAGTTTTTATTCCTTATTTTGTCTTTGCATGCGAGAGCTTCTATATGATTTAAAGAGACATAAAAGTACTGCGATCATTCATGTTCAGTCACAGGTAATGACAATAGCAGAAGAGTAATAAGCAGCTACTGAAAGAAGCTGCTTATTACTATTACAATGTTTACGCTGATTTAAGAAGATTTCTTTTAAACTTTACAGTAAACTGAATTTAAACCTGCCAGTCGGAAAAAATAAAAGTATTTAGTGACATCTCACAGGCTTTAGAAAAGCATGACAGGCAATAATTGCCAGTTACAGAATCAGTATATTAAACTGTTGATTCAATGCGTCAAAGACACCGGCCGGCTGCCAAATTCAATATGCTACAGATGTTAAGGTTTCTATTTTTTCTGTCCATTTAGATTTGACTAGAACACTTAGTCTGTGCGTAAAGTCCACATAAAATAGTAAAACAACATGCTGGGAAATCAGCTATTGTCTCAGATGCTTAATAATATAATTAACGACTTATGGATTGATAAATATTGTAAATTAATTAAATTTCTGATTTTTTTTAACTTAAAAAAACAACTCACAAATTGGCAACAAAGAGAACTTTTACTTTATATGAGTAAATTTCCAGTATTTTCAAACCTGGCCCTAAATCATTAATAGAAACAGTCACGGTTGTTGATGATCCACATTCAGGATATGAAACATTATCTCATGAAAAGGCGGAGTTTAACCTCTAACCTTGGCTTTAAGCATCCCGAAGCCCACCGTTTCTTTGGCGTACATGCACAGCAGCAGGTTGGCGACACGAGTAATGGCCACTCTTCCCTCCTGAGAACGACAATGTTAAAGGGAAGAAGACCACAGTATCTCAGTTTATTACTTAATGATCGCTCCACTTTTTCTCACATCACACAAATCTTTCACATATACCTGAAAAAAAAAGTAATAAAAGATGATGGATCAGCATGTCTCACCATACAATCCATGAGAATGAATTTGAGTTTGTCTTCGTTAAAGGCTTGATGGCCGTTCTTGTCATAAGCTGCCCAGATGTTGCTGGCGATAGCAGCTGTCACTCGAGCGTCGGTGTCCCCGTACCCAGAGTACGCCAGCAGTGAGCCTTCATTATTCAGTAAGCTGATGAGAAACCACATAACCAGCAGATTAATATTAAATTAATATAATAACTTTCAGAGCACAGACAAAGTTACCAACTAAACATAATATATACTCTAAGGTGTATACTACACGAAAATGTATTTTATTTGTATAGGATTTCTTACTACACCATTTTACTAGGCAAGTCTGTTTAAGTAGTTTAGGAGTCAAAGGAGCTTGCAAAGAAAAGCGTCTGGACTTCTTTAAGTTGCTTGAAGACGTTTCACCTCTCATCCGAGAAGCTTCTTCAGTTCTAAGGT